TAACAATAATCGTATAATTTTTTATAAAATTTTGGTTTTTTCGGCCAAATTCAGTCCTAAAAATCTACAAAAATTCCCATATGTTGTTCTCAGTATCTTTTCTATGTATATATTTTTTTAAAAAATTTTAACACGTAATGAAAGGTAACATATGTAAAACTTAATAATTTAAAAAAATTTTTACTTAAAAACTGGTTGTTAGAAAAATCTGAATTTTTACATATACCTTAACTATATTCCTCTTAACACTATTTTGTTATAAATCTAGGGGTTCTCAAATAAATTTATGAGTAATTTAATTTACAATTTTTTCCCAAAGATTAAAAGTTCAATATTTCTTCAACCACTTAACTTATAATAGTTCCAAAAACTGCTCCCGGCTCCTCTCCACGTCTACTAACAGAATGCGACTTCAAAAATAGCCGCACGATTCTGCATCACAGAACACGTGCCCACGTGGTACTTGTTTTTTTTGCAATTTTCTCCGAAAGTATAACTGATAGAAATCTCAAATTTTGCACTTATATAGAGACCACTGATAGCTTCAAATCCGCACAATAAAAAAAGGGGGGTCTTCACTTTAGTTTTTATTTTATTTAATTATCAAATTTTGCAAAAATTTAAAAGTGCAATAACTCTTGAACCACTTAACTTATAAAAAATTGGAAAACTGCTCCAGGCCCTGCTCCGTGTTAGCTACTCGAAAACGACTTCAAAAGTAGCCGCACGATACTGCGTCACAAAACACGTGCCCACGTGGCACTTGTTTTTTTACGTTTATCTCCGAAACTATCACTCAAAAAAATCTAAAATTTTGCACATATATAGAGGTCAATAATACCTTCTAAACCACACTCTAAAAAGTTAAGGTAATAGCGCTTAATAACGCAGCGTTTCAATTTAAAGATTTTAAAATTTTCAAAATTTCACTTTTTTGACAATATCTTTGTCACTTTCACTCCGATTTTCAAACTGTTTTCACTGGTATAAGCCGCGAGTGAAGACGTGTCTTTTGATGTATTAAACACAAAAGTCGGATAAAAAAACCTATTTTCACTTATTTTTAAGTACGGAGCAACACAGAAACGTGGCGTTCGGATCGGCCGTTGACACCGGACTGGGGTTAGGTTAGGTTAGGTTAGGTTAGGTTAGGTTAGGTTAGGTTAGGTTAGGTTAGGTTAGGTTTTTTTTTTTTTTTTTTTTTTTTAAACTTACTTTACTACTACTATTCTGCAGTACCCTTCTTTCTGTTACAGTTAGTCTTTTGTTGTTTTAAACTTTTTTTTTTTTTTTGAATGTATATATATATTTTTTTTGTATTTAAATGTATATATATATATTATATTTTTTTATATAATCATTTTTTTAATGGTTCTGTACTGCTAAAAATTTACTTAGACATTCTTTTACAACGACTTTTTACAATTATTATATTCATATCTTATATATTATTAGTCTACACTTATTTTAATCCCAATTATAATTACAATTCAATTCATAATACTTTGTTTGAGCTTAAAATTGGTTACCTTATATAAATAATCTAAATATTCTTTCGGTCTTAGTTCTTATTTTGGTATCTTGTTTAAATAATCTACGTTCATTCTAGTCTAGTCCTATTTTAAATAACAATTGTTAAAAACTATGCTCTTTAAGCTTACTTTAATATTCTCATTGCCCATCAATCTAATTTTATTAAAATTTGTACAAATATCATATTTTTAATGTTTTATTGCTATTGTTTATGTAATCATTACACCGCTATAGGTACACGATTAATATATTAATCTATTATCTTACTACCATTTTCTTTATTAATTATTTTTAGCACTTTCAGTGCAAATTCCAGAAATACAGTTCGGCAATTGTTGTCTTCGACGATTAATGATAAAGATTTGTTATTTATAACCAAGCCCATACTGCTCTCGCATTCGAATCTTTTAAGTGCAAATCGTGGACAGTTCATTAAAATATGCTCGATCGTTTGTTTACTTTCGTTATCGCAACAGTAGTATGGGGATGGTGATAGCTTAAATCTATGTAGGTATGCTTTGTTGCCACCATGACCTGTGTAAAGTTGAGTTAATATATTAGTCATTCTAATAGTTTTTAATACTTTATAGGCCTTTTCAATATTAGGGAAGAAGGTCTTCGTTACTTCGCTACCCGTACATTCTTCATATTTTGCCTGCCACATATGTAAGGTATTTTGTCTGGTAAGGCGCTTTGCGTACGACAAAGGGACTCTATCGTATCTGGTCTTTTGTTTGTTTCTGACAGCTGCGTACTTAGCCAATTCATCTGCTCTTTCGTTTCCGCTTATTCCAGTGTGCGCTCTTATCCAGTATAGTCTTATAATGCCCCCTTTTAATTCGATTATTTTTATATTATTTCTGATTTCAGCAGCAATCGGATTCAAAGATGATGGGTCACTGATGCTCATTATAGCTGACCTAGAGTCGCTGAAAATATTTGCTTTCAGTTTGTTTTCCGCTATTAGGTATTCTAATGCCCTCAAAATTGCCACGAGTTCGGCTTGGTAGACGCTGCAGTAATTTTCAAGTCTGAAGTTAATACTTTTTATTTCGGTTTTCTTGTTCCAGATGGTGACAGCAGCTCCCACTTTATTATTGAGTTTACTTCCGTCAGTATAGACTTCTATCCAGTTGTTGGTTTTTTCATCGATATCTTGCTGAGAATTTATATATTCGAAATTATATTTCTTCCTTTCAGAGGGGTGCGGTAAGTCGAATGGGCTTATTCTTTTCTCCAAAAGTCTACCCGGTAAGGAGTCTATGGGTTTCCCACGTTTAATCTCATACATAACAGCATTTTCTCTGGCTCTGAGTGCTAAAGGGATTATTTTAGCCAGTAATGTGCTCGATACTAGAGAATTTGTTTTATGGCCTTTACAAATTCTTATGTTGAAGAGTCTTGTAAGCCTGTTTAATAACCGATCCACGTATCTTTTTCCGTAGTATGCGCCCAGCAACTCGCCGCATACAACACCGTTGGTTCTACTACGGCTGTATATATTGTACGGACAATGTCTGAATTGAGTCCCCATTGTGCTCTTGCCGCTTTAGATACCATTTTATAAAGATTTACTGCTTTGCGACTAATGTTGTCTAAGTGTGGTTTGAAATTAAAATTTTTATCAATTGTAAGACCTAATATTGTAAGATGTTCTGTATAATTCAGCTCTATTCCTTCCATGTATAATTTAGGGGTATGGTATTTAAGTTTTTTGGTTATTACGATTGCTTGGGTTTTGTGCGGTGCAAATTTTAGCTTGTACTGTTTTCCCCATTCTGATATAAATTTTAGGGTGTAGTTGAGATCCTTCTCTAGTTGTTCTCCATTGCTGTTGGTGCCTACCAAGAGTATGTCATCCGCGAAAGCTTGTACATGAGTGTGTAGGTCTTCTGTTCCTTGTAATAGGGAGTCTATTAAGATGTTCCATAGTATCGGTCCACAAGTAGAGCCCTGAATGCATCCCTTATTTGTGGGTCGCGTAACTTTTTTTCCAGCGTATCTTAAATCGATTGCTCTGTTGGCCAGGTAGCTTGTTATTAGTTTAAGCAGAGATGGTTCTGCTTGCTTGTCATGTAGTTGTTTGATAATTGCTGGCCATCAGGCATTATCAAATGCACCTTCAATGTCCAGGGACACAAGTACGACAATTTCCTTTTTGCACAGTCCGTTTTTAATTGCTATGGTAGTATCATAAAGGGCATCTTCAGTGCTCCGTTGTGGCGTGAACCCATATTGCCTATTGTTCATCTTATTTTCACGACCGAGTTGCCATTGTATCCTGTTAACAAATAATTTCTCCAGTAATTTTCCTAATATCGGTAATAGACCTATAGGTCTATATGCTTTGGGGGTGGAATAATCTTCTTTATTTGGCTTTGGTATAACTTTAATTGTTGCTATTTTCCACTTTGTTGGAAAATGGCCAAGCTTGAGACATTGGTTCATTAGACTCAAGACACTTTCTGGATCATTTTTATACGCTGCTTGGCAGATGTCCGAAGTTAAGCTATCTCCGCCTGGTGCCTTTTTCGGGCTCATTATGTTAAATATATGTTCGATTTCTAATAATTTAAAAGGCTGTATTTCTGGAGTGTTATTTTCAATTTTTTTTAATTAATTCCTGCACGTTCTTCCTTAGTTTGTCTTGTTCTTCAGTATCGGTTTCGATGCTATCCCACGGGAAAAAGGTTTCGGCAATAGATTGGCCGATTCCCTTTCGTTGAGAATGGTGCCGTCCTTTTTACGTAGGAGCTTCTCTTCTTCGGTGTTAGAACACACTTTCAGGATTCTGTACGTCCGTTGCCATACGTTTTCCTTCTCTTCGGTACTGCAAAGATCTTTCCAACTTTGTGTTGCAGCTGTTTCTATGCTGTGGATATATTCTTCTCTTGCTTTGAGATAGAGATCTATGACAAAATTTCGTCTCTTAGGGTGCGCGTTCCGAATTCTTCGTCTTATCCTAATCATCTCCTCTTTCTTAAGAGTAAGTTCTTTAGTCCACCATATTGCTGCTTTCTTTGCTTTCTTAGGTTTAATTAATGGGATTGCTTTAGAACATGCCGCTGAAATGCATTGCGTATATTTATCTACCATTATGTCCAAATCTTGTGTTGTCTTAATTTGTCCTATAATTTCCTTGTTTATTTGGTTGCTACTTGATTCTGTCGTTAGTTCTTGTTTGAATACTTCCCAGTTCGCTTTCCTAGTATCAAACTTTCGCGTGCTGGTAATTGTCTTTTGTGGTGTAAAATTCTGTGGATTAAGCTCATATAATATTGGTTTATGGCTTGACAAAGTGCTAAATGTTTCATCAACTCTCCAATTTTTGATCTTGTTTATTAAAGAAGCTGAACACACTGTTATATCTATGATACTGGAGCAAAGCTTGCCCATCCTATAAACTGCAAATGTTGGGTTGCTGTCAGTATTGAGGATTTCTAGATTTAATTCAGCCACTGTCTCCATTATTTGAGAACCCCTTTTATCGTCAGCATCGCATCCCCACCAGACACTTTTTGCGTTGACGTCTCCTGCAATGATGTAGTCACTTGCGTCCATGCTCGACACAAATTGGTTGATTTTGGTAAGATCTTCATCAATATTTCCTTTCTCGTGCAAGTAAATATTAATTATACCTATCCTCTTATAATCTACTTTGATTGTGATTGTTACAATATCTTCCGTAATGAGGTCTGGATTAACAGTGTACTTAATATTTGGATCTAAGATAACGATTGCCGATCTGACTGGTTTATTTTTGTCGTGACTAACTTTTTGGACAACGCGGTAGTACGAGCCTAGGGTAACGTGGGCTTTAGCTCCGACATAAGGCTCCTGCATCAGTATTATTGAAAATCCCTGCATTGTGGCTGCGCGTAAACACTCTTGTGTTGCCGCACGCCCACGATCCAGGTTGTATTGAACTATTTTTATTCTGTTATTGTCTGGGGTTGTTGTAGTATCAATTATCTCTTAACAATAATTTACCGAGGATCTTGCAATCCTGTCCCATTTAGCCCACTCCGGACATTCAGAACTGTAAGCTGGATGGCTTAAGGATTCTTTTTGTAAATTTTTGCAGTTTTTACATTTTGGTGTTTGATTTCGATTCGTGCACAATCTGGTATCATGCTCCTCGGAACAGTATCCGCAAACCAGTCCGTTATGGCAATCCCTAGCTAAATGATTAAATCCCAGACACTTATAACATTGGGTAAGAGGAGAGTGGTCAACGCATGGAACTACTTGATAACCTATACGCAGCCTTTGAGCTTTTAATTTTATCCACATTTGTGGTGTTACCTCTAGTATAACGTTGACTAGTTCACGGACCCTTCCTTTCGTTCTGCGGAGTACTTTGGCTGTTTTTTCTGGTTCTATTATTCCTGATACCAAGTTGCTATTTTGTGTCACCAATGCTTTGATAAGTTTTTGGTCACTGAGTTCGGATGTGATACCTATTAACCTTAAATGCGGATTTTTATTCGAAGGTGTAGACACAGATAGTTTGGTGCACGAATCTCGAATTGCAGTTCTTAAAGTTTGCCTATCTTCTTGAATGTTGCAGCTGATAACTACTATTTGGTTTTTGAGTTTAGTTATCTTGTTGACACCAATTCCTAGTTCCACTGGATCAACTCCCCTTTTTACCTGTTTCACGATATCGTCGCTGGTCAGACGGGGATCTATAGATTCAAGGATCATAGGAAAACGGGGCGCGCTCACAGCATTGGCATAGGTCTTTTGCGGTGGCTTATATGGTGATGCGGCTACCCGTACGTTAGTTTCCCTTCCCATTGGTGGAGCGCAGGGGTAGTTCCTTAGTTCATCAATCTTATCCTTAATTTCCGTGATTGCCAATTCTGCTCCCAAGCCTGAATTGCTTTGGAAAGCCAGCTGACTTGTGTTGAATTCTTTCATTTCATTTATATCCTTCATCATAGTTTTCATGGTGATGGTGATCGGTTCTAAGACTTTTTTAACGTCCTCACTTTGTTCATTTATTGTTGTGGTGATACAGGTTGGTGTTGCTTTGATTTCCGAAATCATTTGTTTCAACTCCTGTATCTCTGTGATGACAGTATTAGTGTCTGTTTGTATGAGCTCTGGGACTGGTGTTTTCTTTCCTGTCTCCTTATGAATTATGATAAATTCTTCAATCATCTGGGTTAAGAGACTGATTTGTTGTGTCATTTCTTTTACCTGTAGCGACAGTTTTGTTGCTAACTCTGATTGCTTCTGCGCAGTTACTGAAATTATTGTCTCAGGTGCTGGATGCGGTAATGCCTTTGTGACGAGTCCCTGCACTTCTAGTTGAATTTTACTTATGGCTTTTATAGGCTCGTCCATCTCGTAACTCAACCAGCTGCGTATAGCTTCCACAGATTTACCTGTATTGCGAATTTCTTCAAGGGATTCTACCAGCTTATTTACAATTTGGGAGTGAATTTCTGTCAGCTGCTTGTTATGAGCACGCTCAATTCTTACCATTTCTTTTTCAGATCGGCATCGTTCCTGCTCCAATCCAAGGCGATGCCGCGAGCGAGAATCAGATAACGAGAGCACGGTTTCATACAATCCCTGCAAGCAGTTGTGTACTTCTACTTTGCAGTCGCGTTTCATATTTCCGGCTTTTTCAAGTGCTTCCTTGCCTGAGAGCAGGAAGTCATTAGCTCGTTGAGTAGCTAGATCCATAGATATACCGGCCCGCTTGTAAGCGGGTGGCAATATACTGGATCTCCTGCTGTTAAGGCTGGTTGCACTATCTGCGTCAGACCATTCATCATCAGTACGTTGGAATGGTTTACATTTCCCAAAAACCTCCAATTCGGCTTCCATGTCTAACGTTAATGAGCTTCGGTTTTCAGAATCTGCTTCCTGTCCCATTTCAGTTGTGATGTTATGAGAGTCAACTGCTGTCGGTTTTTCGGGTTTCATTGGGTCATTAACGCTCTGGGTTTCCTTGCTGATTCCTATAAGGCTTACTGTTTCAGGGCACGGTTCGCTGATGGAGTAACCTCTGGTGGTTGGAATATCCTCTGTTGCTTTGTTAGACGTGGCAGCATTCTGTATGAGTACTTTTTTACGTAGAGTCGTACTGAGAGTTGGACTTGCAGCCCTGCTCGTTTTAGATGCCCTTGATTTGATTGAGCCCGTAACTGATGCGGTTGACTTACTGGACATTATTTATGTTTATTCTTAAGAAAAGTGCTATCGGTATAACTTGTACAGAAATAGAAAGCCGGTCTCAAGCCAAGTTGTTTAAACCCAAACACGACCGGTTTTGGTTGAATAGTGCCGAAGTTATGACGGTTTAAATTTTTCCAATATGGCCGACCGTAACTTTGTTTTTGCTCTAGATCAGTATTTTATGGATCAAAATGCTTCGTGCTTGAGCTCAATTCGTGGGAAATGAGATGAGCTATGCGTTCCACTTAGTCACAGCCACCTACTGATCAGGTGCTATCTGGCAAGAGTTTTAGCTCCGTCAGGCTGCTCTGATCAAAATAAGGCCAAACACGACCCTCCCCGCTCAACTGGTTCGCGAGAAATTCAACAAAACCGATTTCCAATATGGCGGCCAATTAAGATCAATTTCTCTAACTTTGGAACGGTGAAAGGTAACAAAGTCGTGTTTGGACTCTTTGGATAGCTCTGGGCAACGGTATTACGAACCTATTAAGCAACAAATAAAATAATTAATTATTTGCAAGTTATGAACCGAAATCATATAAAATATACGAAAAAATGTATATCTCAAAAACTATCAGGAATAATTGAATTCTAAAAATGCCAATAGTTTAAAGCTTTTTAGGTCTATTTTTAAATTGATTCTAAAGAAGCCGCAAAGGCCCAGAAGTGGGAGCACGTGTAAGCGTAATTTGAGATAAAATGGTATATCTCTGTAATTTCAAGACGAAAAAATCTGAAATTTTCCACAAAGGTACTCTTTAATATCCTTTAAATAAATAAAAAATAAAAATTATATGTTATCGATTTATTTTTAAATTTATAAAAGTTTAAACATAACAATTTTTTAATAAAAGAGGTTTTCCGTCAATAAAAAGAGCAAGGGTCAACCGATCTAAGCAAATGAGGTGTCGTCTGAAAGTGCTTTATACACCGCATCCAAAACCACTATATAAATTATCCGAACGTAATTATTTCTCAAACCACGTGCCACGTGGTTTTTGAGAAAAAATCGTTATAACTCCGTGATTTTTTAAAGAAAAAATCCGGAACAAATTGCAAAATGTGAAGCTAATGAAATGCCAAATGGTGCGCTAAAAAAGTTAATAGGTTGCTGATCTAGATTTTGCAGCGTTCGCAGATATATGTTAAAATTTTACCTGTTTTTGAGGTTATTTGTAGTTTTTCCACCAAATTTCACTCAGGCAAAATCCTGTACTTGCGAACACTATGCACAGATCAAAGCCTACACTTTTCCGCGCACTTTGGTATATAACACAGCACAATAGCACAAATTAAACCCACTTTTCCGAATTTTTGAACGCGGAGCTCAATCACAACGATGCTTTCGGTACGGAGGACGGACTCGAACTGGTTAGGTTAGGTTAGGTTAGGTTAGGTTAGGTTAGGTTAGGTTAGGTTAGGTTAGGTTAGAATCGTGGGATGCAGTGGTGTCCTTCTGTGAGGACGTGATGTCGCAGAAGGAAACTGCGGAACGGGAGAGGGAGATCTCGACTCCCTTCCCTGGCCGCAGAAGGCGCACCGGGCGCAGGAGAAGGGCGGACAACGCCCTTTTCCAGCCCCCATGAATAAGTCCAGGGGCGAGGGACTAGGGGAAGCCCCCGCCCCCCTATTCGATGGACCCGAGGCGGAGGCACGCGTGGGTGTCGGCGCGTGCCTCTGAGGTGATACAGGGGGTAGTTGAACACCTCACTACCCCGTGCAGGAGACGAGGCCCGTACAGACCGGGCCAGCACTAGTGTGGGGCTGCGGAAGAATTTGGATTCCCGCGGCCCCGCGCGTGCACGTGCGAGGAGACACCGGGGTGGTTTTAGCCGGTAAGAGTCCGGCACACCCCTCCGCCTGTCCCCAGGCAGAGGCAGTCCATGAGGATTTCCCCCCGTAAAAAAAAAAAAAAAAAAAGGTTAGGTTAGGTTAGGTTAGGTTAGGTTAGGTTAGGTTAGGTTAGGTTAGGTTAGGTTAGGTTAGGTTAGGTTAGGTTAGGTTAGGTTAGGTTTTTTTTTTTTTTTTTTTTTTTTTATTGTAATAAGTTTACTCTACAGACTCGAAGTCCGTACCTTTTTTTTGCTTTACTTTATTTTATTAACTTTTAAAATACTGTTATAAATGTACTCCTTACACTACTTACATTTCTTAAATATTTAAGCCTAAGCAGTGAGTTCACATATATATGTTTATATATTTTTTTTTTTTTTTTATTTCTTTTTTTTTTTTTTTTTTATTTCTATTGTCTTACATTCTTAAGATCTACAAACTGATATGCTTACATGCGACATGCACTTACACGCTATATTTTTTTTTTCTTTTTTTTACACTTTTTTGTGTATTATTATTATTTTTATTTTTTTTTTTATTTATGTCTATTGTCTTACATTCTTAAGATCTACAAACTGATATGCTTACATGCGACATGCACTTACACGCAATATTTTTTTTTTTTTTTTTTTTAATTAAACATAATAATTGTCGACCCACTTTGTGTTTTATATATATTTTTTTCCTCTTTTTTTTTTTTTTTTTTTCCTCATGTAGTTATCAACATAATCTACATACTTAATGTATATGGCCTTACATGCTATGTTAATTTATTATATTACCAGATTTTCCTTTTTTTTTTTCCCTTTTCCTTGTACTTAATGTCGTGGAGAGTGCTCCATCTTTAACTGTTTGTGATATCTGTTGACAGGGCTTCCACAATAGCTTCGTCTCTGTTTCTAATTGCCATTTTCAGATTATATTCTTTGATTCTTTTCGTTGTCGCAGCCATTGCGCTCTCAATCAGCCTCCCAGTTGCATCGTCGCAAACGTCCGTGTAATAAACACAGCTTTCTGTGTGCCTGGACACTGCCACTACTGCGTGTTGGACGCTGTCATAAATTTTGAGCTTCTCTGTTGTTGTCCTCATTATGACCACTCTCCCGTATGTGAGACCTTGGGCCTCATGTACGGTTAAAATTCGCGACCCAGGACCCGAACCATATCCCTGGCTGGTAAGGGATTCCTTTTCTGCTTGCGTAAATGCAAGATATAAGGTGTCGGGCAGGGTACCTGGTATGACGACTCCCGTGTACCTCTTCCTTTCTAGTGAGTGCACCTGAGATCTGGATGAGTAAATGCCACTGTAGATTTCATTCAGGGCATATGCCACATCCATCGGATTCCGGTGCGTACACAGGAGTTCTTGGCTGATAGTGGTCACGAGGCTTGGGCGAGTATATTGCATCGCAAAGAGGTTTTCCCTGTCGATATAAGGGAGTTGATTGATGTCACCAATAAGCAGTATTTTTTCCGCTCCACTTAGTCGCATTGCCATTACTATGGCCCCGAAATGGTTCATGAGAGCTTCGTCGACTAAAAGTCGAGTACATCTTCCCTTTTGCCTCCTCATACCATTTACTAAAACTGAGGCCATAGTGCGCACTTTTGTTTTTGCGTCAGTGGCTATGCGGTTGGCTAACTTTTCTCTAAGATCTTTAGCTGCTTCTGTTGTTATTGTGACAATCAAATCATCCTCCGCATCGAATTGGTTTATAACCCAAGTTGTTTTGCCACATCCCGGAACTCCATTGACCCAATTTATCGTCGGCACCGTCCAGTTTTCCCAAGAATCTCCCAATGCACAGGCTCCCGAGATAGTTTCCGCCATTTTTAGGATCCTGTCCTCTAGCATCACCCTGGTACAACGGGCGGTGACCACAATAGGGTCGTTGGGGGGGGGGGTTTGAATACTAATCTTCCCTGTCGTTCTGTCTCCTCCTCATCCAAGGCTACGAAGCCCGCTGACCCGCTATAAGCCGCCATGTGATGACCCATTTTACCTCTTATGACAGTAGATGTTTTGTTGTCATAAATTGCGGCCTCTGCTTCCTCGAGCTGCACCCCAAGGAACTCATGACTACCGAGGTGGAAACTTTGTAAGATATTCTTGCAAGTAGTTTGGTTCACCTCAAGAGTTGCTTTTATGAGGGCCTTAAACTCTAAGAAAGCGTTGATTATGTGGTCTTTAGGCTCGACCGCTGGTAGAAGTCTTGGAGGGCTGACACGTCCCGAACAGGGTCTA